TCTCTCTCTCTCTCTCTCTCTCTCTCTCTCTCTCTCTCTCTCTTATTACAATTTAATAAATGATCTCTTATTGCAACTAAAACATATATGAATAAATATATTTATTTAGATTGAGTAAATTTTTTTATCAGTGTGAAGTTATTATAAAATTCAAATTGAGAAATCAAATATTACATCAAAATTATGAAATCTATTATAAAGAATATATATATGTAATTATTTAGCTTACATTGCATCTGGAATTGTAGAAGTATTTTTAATTTGACGAAATATAGGTTGCGCACACTTTGGTTACACATATAAACTGTTATACGTCTTTACCATAATAAAAATCTTATTTTTTTATTTTTTTCATAATCAAATAAAAGTTCAAGTTTATAATTTGCAATAATTCAATGACGTTTTGACAAATTATAAGGTTATTCTTTATTACCTAAAAGTTTGTTAACAAATTTAAATAACTAAATTTTCTCGAAAGCATTAAATTTAAGAGTACACTAATTTTTTACACGCAGGCTGAACCTTCTTCATTCAAATAAGGTAAGGTAGAAATCGATAGAACTATTTGTTTTAAAGTTATGATTTTTTTTCGTAAATGGGACATGTATGTCCCACTGTCCATGAAAGAGTTAAATTCAGGATTAAAGAAGGCTAAGTATAAAATATGTATCCTGATAAGTAGTTCGAGTTTCAGCGAGAGGTCTCCACAGTCCTCTTGCCCACCTTCAATTGTGAGCCAACTTTATCTCGTCTGTCCATATGCTCTGTTTCAATCGTTTTATGAATAAAAATTGTATCTGTGAATAAAAATTGTATTTATTATCAGAAACAGTATATCATACACTTGCAAAAAATTTTATCTTAATTAGTAATATATTACTTAATTTTATTCAGTCATGATAAAAAATATTAATATAAAATTTCGAGAGGCTTGAAAATTTATACTTTGTTATCAAATCAATTTTTTATTTCTAAACTGTAATATTGTTCCGATTTTAATGAAACTCAAGGAAAAATATTTATATTTTAAAAGAACTATTACGTAATTTTGTACTCACTATATCTCTTAAGATAAATACTAAAAAAAAACACATAATCAACATACCCTTAGAGCCATGTAGTCCCGGTCTCTCCTACAGTGCCGAAATTAAAAGATATTTCATTAAAATTGTAATGTATTAATTTTTCATGAGCTTAAAATAAAATAAAAAATCACATTAGTTAATAAATAGTCAGTAGAATTATCTTTATGTCGATCAGATTTTTAATTTCATATTCGAATATTTTAATATCTCATGTTCGTAATTAATACCATTCGTAATTAATATATCATATTTGTAATAATCTCATATTCTAATATTGATTTCTTGAACAAGTAAAATTAAATTACAGAGCATATGAGATATAAAAATAAATTAGGAGAATTATCTTTACACCGACCAGATTTTTAATCTCATGCTCGAAAATTTAAACAACTGCGAACCCAGTAAGCAAGAAATCATTAATACAATGTTGTTGCAATAATATCGAAAAACCTGTAATATTGTCAAATATGTAGTGTTTAATATTGTATCAAACATCATTATGAACATACTTTGACTGCGATTTGGAAGTTTCAATAATGTTGAAATAGGATTGCCATAACGTTTTAATCGGCAGAAATATTTTTAAGATGTTGCATTGATCTCAAATAAATGTTAAAGTAACATTTGAAAAATATATTTTTTGTAATGTTTTTAAAACGTTTAAACAATATTCAGAAAAATCATATCACAAAATAACATATAAAAAATATAAATGCAATGTTATTAAAAAATGTCCAAATAATGCACATAAAGACAACGTTTCTAAACGTTAATTTAATGTTCCTTGCTTAATGGGAAATCAAATCACAGCGTTCAAGCGTGAGATCGCATTTCCGTGAAATATACGGAATCATCGAGATCACCGCAGCGAAATTTCGTGTGGCGGCAATTTCCTTTTATTGTTAATACGTTGTTATAACCCTACCTAATAGCGGCTTGATTGTTCACGCTCTCGCAGCGACGCACATGGCATGTGTTTGACAGGTGACGGTGCAATTGTTTGTCGTTAAAGGTTTGACGAAAAAAAATTCAGCGGCGTTTCCATTAAACGTGGCTAGCCGCCGAACAAAAATTGCGCTTTTCCGCCAGCTGGTCGCCTGATATTAACAACGTAACAATGCGCACTCGTAAGCCCGTGAGCACCTCTGGAAAAAAAAAGAGGAAAAAAAGAGTAGACTGCGACGGACGCGAGCTACGAAATTGTTTCCATTTCGTTCACACATGTTAACGCACGCTCTCGCGCTCCATTTGTTTACAAGAGGACGCACGGATTATTCCTCCATAATCCAACCGTGAAGAAATTAAGATCACCGCTATGATTTCAACGTTCCGACTGTGAAAGAATTCAAATGACAATGAGAATCTGAATCTAACACGACCGTGTAACATAATCTGCTAACTAATTAACTAAATAACTCACACGCAAGTCTGCGCACAAAAATGACGCTAAAGATGACATTCACTAAATTCTCTGATTAAGTATATATTGCCTATGTTTCAAAAATAATAAAAAAAATTGAAAAAACTACAGATTAATCTATATCTGAAAATTATCACAATATAATTTGACATTGATTTAAAATCTGGATCAAAAATTATATCTAATTAACTTTGACGTATCGGAAAAACATCGATTTTGTCAGTAAAATTAAAAATCCCGGGCTTATAATAAGTTCAACTAGAAATTTACCTCATGGTCCTAATCAGAATGATTCTAATCAGTTATCTGGTATATATAATGCGATATTATTGAGTTCTAATTATTAATAATTTTTATTCTTAATAAAGCCTTAATTGTTATACCGCGACTTATTAAAATTCAATACCATCACTTTATGGAAACCAGATAATTGTTTAACATCAGGATTGAATGAAATTAATTACTTTTAAATTAATTATTACCTTTAATTAACGATTAACATAAATCAATTTAACTGGAGACCACTTAATTAACGATATATTTCAACAAATTCAATTAAAAGCCGTTTAATTGACAATTGATCTCAACGAATTCAATTAAAAACTGTTCAATTAATGATTGATATAAATGAAGGAAACCAAAGATCGTTCAATTAACATTTAAACTTAATTAATTTAATTAAAAGTTGTTTAATTAACAATTATATTTAGCAAATTTAATTAAAGATCGTTTAATTGACGATTAATAGAAACAAATTCAATCGATTCAATCGAAGACCGTTCAGTAACGATTGATACGATCAATGCCCCCCCCCCCCCCCCCCCCCCCCCC